GGGGGGTGAAGGCACATGCCGCCTATGCCTGCCCCGGGGGTGCACTCAGCAGCAGGGAGTTGCCCCCTCTCCCCATCCCATGTCCCCATGGACGAACCACCCACAGCTCTGTTCTGCTCCCAGCGAGGTCGCATTCACTGCCCTGTATGAGCAGCTTCTGTCCCTGCCCCATTTCCTCACCGTGGAGGCCTCGATCTGCCTCCCCCCCACAGACTTACTAGCCAGATACTGCTTTCCAAGCTGCTGGGCTGCATTCCTGTAAATCAGCTATCAGATCAGTATTGGCGGATATGGCTGGCTAATAATCATCCTTTGGTATTGGCCAAGAAATCTTTATCGGTGCACCCGTAAAGGATGTGGAGGCCACAGATGTTGATTTTTTTGAGTCAGTTCTGGTTTAATTTAATTAAACAAAGGTATAGATGGAAGCCTGAATTAGACATTTAAGTAAGTGTGAGAGTGATGTTGTAGCCGTGATGGTCCAGGCATTATGCAAGGCTACCTCTAAAAGATACCACCCTAAAAAATCCTTGTTTCTCATGTTTAATGAAGTAAGGCTAAAAAGTGCATTCATTGTGCAGCAGAATAAAATACAAAAAATACCTAAATACTAAAAGAAAAACTCTAAGAATTATACTAGGTGTTGCTGTAACACAGGTTAATCATGAGCTACAGGAGTTAAACTTCTTGATCTAAAACCATGATTCTCTACTGCCTGAGCCAGGGGTCAGTAACCTTTCAGGCTGGGTCCAGATGAACGCCACCATGTGGTGCCACATACCATATGTTCAGCTGTCCTTCATGCTGCAAGGGAGCAGTGTAGAGGGGATTTTTTGACCCTTAGATACCCAGGGATCAGAAAAACCCGCAGTGAGAAAAAGTGGAGTGGCAAATACAGTGGCAGCGTATGCCTCTTAAAGCTGGAGCCTGGCTGGCCAGAGCTGTACTCCACTGCTGGCTAGCTCCGCGTGGCAGGAGCAACACAGCTGCAGCCCTGGGAGGCCCCCAGGACTCCAGGTAAGGCTGATGGGGCCAGCCCAGTGCTGACCTCAGCCTCTCCTACCCTACCTGGGGTAACTTGCTGAATGCCAGAGCATACGTGGCACAGGCATTCTGCAGGGACAACTAGTGACAGCACAGGGTGCACCACCACTAGTTGTCCCAGGGAAACCAAATGTCCACACACATCTGGACACGGCCTTAGTGGTGAGCTGAATTACCAAATCTTGATCCAAAGACAGACTGCCCTTTGCAACCTAACTGCCACCACCACCAAGTTTCCCTGCTGCTGAGTTGTTGCTGATGCCCTGGCTTCATGGGTTGGATTAAATTGCTTGGTGGGCTGAATCCAGCCCATGGGCCATATGTTGCTGATCCCTGGTTTGAGCTAAAAGATCTATAGCTCAAGCAGATGGACAGTGTACACCTAGTTGTGATTCAGTCTCAAGAGGGGCAGAGAGTTGCATTGTGATGTGGAACTACATTGCAGAGGTAGGGGTTTTTTTTTTCTTTTTAATTGTAACTTGATGTTGAATCAGTGTCATGAAGTTCAGTAAGTACAAGTCCAAAGTCCTGCACTTTTGACAGAACAATCCCACAGGTTAGGAACTCACTGGCTAAGCAGCAGCTTTGCAGAAAAGGACCTGGGGGTTATAGTGGACAATAAACTTGAATATGAGCCAGCAGTGTGCTAATGGCTTTTGTGGGCCGTGTTGCCATGAAGGCTTTATTTTTGTAGAATAAAGATAATGTGCACATATTTTGAATGTTGCCACGAAGGCTGATGGCAACCTGGGCTGCAGTAATAGGAGTATTGCCAGCAGGTCAAGAGAAGTGATTCTTCCTCTCTATTTGGCACTAGTGAGGCCACCTCTGGAATACTGTGTCCTACTACAAAATGGATGTGGACAAATTGGAGGGGGTCCAGCAGAGGGCAACAAAAATGGTTAGAGGGCTAGGGAACATGACTTACGAGGAGAGGCTGAGGTAACTGGACATATTTAGCCTGGAGAAGAGAAGGCTGAAGTGGAATTTAATAGCAGCCTTCAACTCCCTGAAAGAGGACGGAGCAAGACTGTTCTGAGTGGTGGTAGATGACAAAACAAGGAGCAATGGTTTCAAGTTGCAGCAAGAGAAATTGAGGTTAGATATTAGGAAGAATTTTCTCACTAGAAGAGTATTACAGCACTGGATGGAACAGGTTACCCAGAGAGGTTATGGAATCTCCATTCATGGAGGTTTTTAAGACTTGGGTAGACAAAACCTTGGCTGAGATGATACAGTTGCAGATGGCCCTGTTTTGAGCAGGGGGTTGGACTAGATGACCTCCTGAAGTCCCTTCTAGCCCTAATTGTCTGTGATTCTAATTAAGTCTTATTATAGCACTGTGATGCTGAAAAATGTGTGTTTCTCCATTTGTAGAATAAAGATAATGAGACATGCAGAAATGGAAGCTTGCCTGATGTCACATAATGCATTAGTGATAGACAGTAGAGCCTCGGTGTTGTGACTCAACTCCCCGCTCTTACCAACAGGATTTGGCCTTGTATTATTGCAGTTTGCATTGAATTTTCTGGTTCTGTTTCCACCTGGAGCTGATATAGCAATGTTAAGAAGGCACCTGGCTACATTTGTTTTGTTTTTGTTCCAGACAGTACAACAAACTGCGAAATCTAATGAAGGATGCCCGTCATGACTGTATTCTGTTTGCTAATGAATTCCAGCAGCATTGCTATCTGCCAAGAGAGAGGGGAGAATCTATGGAGAAATGGCAGACAAGGTTTGTTTTAGCTAATAACCATATGTTGCATTGGACATAAACATATGAAGGTATGGATAATTTATGTCTAAAAATGTAAGGCACTGGATATATAAAATGTAATGCTGTTGTTTGCTTGGCCATACAGAAATATAGCGGCTCTCAACCAGGGGTCCATGGCCCCTTGAGGGGCTGCAAGCAGGTTTCAGGGGGCATATAGGGGCTACAGATCTGGCAGTCATGATCTCTGAGATCACCTGGGACAGGCTACACCCAAGCTAAGCCCACTGCAACTGCCTCGTTCAAAGAAG